AAATGGAATTAAAGAATTAGACAATCTTTGTCATATTTTTATATTGGGATTAGACAAATTGAAGCCTATTTTGATTTGATAGAAATTTTTAAAATACTGTTGACAATGTTGTGTATGTTAGAAAAAGGGACATTGAGGTAAGAGAGCCTACAAAGCAGAAAAATCTTCTTTTGGCATATCCATAGTCCTTCCTACTACATGAGAACATCCTTTAGATTTCCCTTGCCCAATAAACCACTTTTTTTAATTGGAAAAGAATGTAACATGTAGACTTTAAACTCAGCATGTATCTCAATGACCACTTGAGAGGCAGAGATAGCCTCTGTTTATAATACCCTGGTCACCTGGAAACACTTAGCATGAATACACAGTGTATGAGTTCCAACTGTTTCTCTAAATTTGAGTTTTAGAACCGTGGTGGTACATACATGGCATGTCATATGCCATAGCTATTCTTTTAGATATACTCTCTTTTCTACTTATCTACCGTACTTGCTGCTGCTTCTTAGGTGGGACACTTTGCTTTCACCTGGCTATCACATAAGAACTTAAGAATTGCTACTCTAGGGTGCAAGATTCATTATGTAACCAACCCAGTAATTTCTGTCATCATTGCTAAAGTTAAAACTAAAAGACTCATTAGTTTAAAATCTGGAAGGGTTTCAGGACTCATCTGAAGTTCTAGACCAGTATCTTCAGTCTATACACACTACCTAAACTGAGTCTTTTTTGTTTTTTGACAGAGTCTCCCTTTGTTGCCCAGGCTAGAGTGAGTGTCGTGGTGTCAGCCTAGCTCACAGCAACCTCAAACTCCTGGGCTCAACCGATCTTCCTGCTTCAGCCTCCCGAGTAGCTGGGACTACAGGCATGCACCACCATGCCCGCCTAATTATATATATATATATATATAAACACACACACACATATATATATTAGTTGGCCAATTAATTTATTTCTATTTATAGTAGAGACGGGGTCTCGCTCTTGCTCAGGCTGGTTTCGAACTCCTGACCTCGAGCAATCCACCGACCTCCGCATCCTAGAGTGCTAGGATTACAGGCGTGAGCTACAGTGCCCGGCCCTAAACTGAGTCTTAAACAGATGACATAAATTTTTCAAACTCACCCAGACAATTATGGGCAAAACTGTCGTTGAAACTAAGGTTTCTGGCTTTGCAGCCCAATGTTCTTCCCATAACACTATTTTATCATTTCAAATTTTTTAAGTCTGAGGTAAGGTCAAAAGAGCATGGATTTTGAAACTACAAAGATACAGTTTAAGCTCTAACTCAACACCTCACAAGTCACTGATCTCTGAGTGGGAGATTCCTTAACCTACAAACAAGGAAACCATGAGGATGGCGGCATCTAGCACAGAAGGCTGGAAATGATATAGGTAATGCACCTCGAATGTTTCCTGGTACGTGGAGGTGCTCAGAGAATGGCAATGGTGATAGCTATGGCTATTATTATTTTGATAGTTTGAAAAGATTAGAAATGTATCTCAAATAAACTAACTGTTAACAGCATGGAGCTGCCATCACTTATTTATACTTTTTTGAAGTCATTTCTGTTTCAAGCAAAAAGTGCTCCATAAGTTTAACCATTTACGGGGTAAATAGAGTGCCTTCATATTTGTTCTAATATTAGCTTTTTTTCTGAACTTCAAAGGGTACTTTCAATTTTCATATTTCAAGATTTGATGTAAAAGTCTGGGATTATCCTATATATGGCCTTGAAGATAATACAGATTTTAATACTTTACCTCTTTAATACTTTGAGGTTAGGAAACAAAATAACTTATCCCTGGAGACAGGAACAATAATAATAGCAGGGCAAGATGCTCTGGAAGCAGATTTTGTTATGGTATATAACTGTGTAGATGGCACACTGACAACTCTTGGAAGAACATTCTCATTCCTAGGTGTCCCAAAAGAACGGGCACAAATTCAGGTCAATGGCCATTTTACTGGTCTTAGTCAGTGATACAGTCATTTACTGAACTTTGGAGTATTTCAAAATACAAATCAGGAATAATTAAGATTTTTAACTGAGCAAAAGTTTTAGAGGCCAAGGATATCACAAGTAGTTAGTTACTATTCTCAGAGAAAGTTCCACAAACTTTTCAGTAGCCCCTCCCATGGATAGGACATCATCTAGAAAGAAGATAATTTAGTAAAACACACTATATAAAGTGTTAGGGGCAGGATGAATATCTGTTTCACAGACTAGTTATTTTATATAAAAATAGTATTATATGTGGTATTTCCAAAACTAAACAGATTTCTTAAAGAGCTAAGCCCCCATGTTGCATGACAAAAAACTGTAATGCTCATTCTCTTGTCTGGGTTGGTTAACACCAATAACCACTAACTCACTGTAATGTGTGTGCACACGTGTGTATGTGTATTTTCACCTGCAACTGAAGTTAGCAGGATCCATTTACTTACTTACATAGAAAGTACTCTAATTGGAATAGCAAAAGTTTGCATGATGCCTGAATAAAACTGTTCTCTTCAATCTTTTATCTGTAATAGACTAAGGTTGCTAACAGTATTTATAGAGTCATTATTTTCAACTTTTCTTGACACCTAACAATATTATTTTAAGCTCCAGCCAAGTAGATTTCCAATAATTATATAATGTCTCTCAGTAATGATCTGTTGCTTAAGATACACATCCTACTTTACCTTTCAACACATACTTGATAACCTCTCATTTTCTAACTGTAATTGAGACAAATTCAGTCTTGGTTAATTAGTGGCTCTTAGTACTCCTCATACATGTTATTCTTGATGACATATCAAAAGTATTAGGGTCTATTTTTATTTTTAATTAAAGTAATAAAAATGTGCAACTTAAAAATATTAGAGTGTTTAAAGACATTACAAGTATTTTACAAATAACAAGTCCAATGTTATACCGGGGATATGCAAAATGACAAAACCTTCAAAACCAAAACAGAATGGTTGTTTGTCAAGAATTCCTTTTAGAAGCAAACCCACAGCCATGTTAGGTGCTTAGTTATCAAAATGAAAGTATACATAATCAGGACATTTAAACTAGTGCATTATTTTAATGTCAGCCTCCTTGGACCCACGTTAGAGAGCTCTGTTATTGTTGCCACACAGAAAGTCTTCCAAAGAAGTTCAGTGAATGAAAAGGAGTTGAAAGTGGGAAATATCTTTGAGAAGAAAAAAATTCTACCTTTGGTATAAACTGATGGCAAGAGTGCTTAAGCTTTGCAGTAAATGTCACCAAGAAAAAAAATCACGGATGTTAAGAAAGTGTACACACACACATGCACACACCCAACAAATCTATCTATGATGATATATTTCCAGAATGGCTGTAACTTTTTTCATCATAGAATATGTGCTTTAAGCTATTCTAAGAAGCAGCATAATGGTAAAAACTAACATCAGCTCAACTTTCCTTTTCTGTTCAACATTTTTAAAAATCACCACATAAGCAAAAAAAGTAAAAAAGAACTTGGATAAGAAACATATGCTTGTAAATTTAGAGGAATACCAAATGGATGCAGAAGTTGCTAATATGGTTTCAGTATTTTGTAAAAGAGCCAGCTGGATGGATGATAATTTTTCTACCCCTGCAGGGCATCAAAGCTTTTAGGAAATCATTTTTTTCACACATATTAACACTTAGCTTATTAAAACAGATGATACTTTTATTGTAAAACAGCCTGGGTAGAGGCTTAAAACATAAAGTATGAAAGATAAGATTCATTTTGGCCACCCAATCTAACAAACAGTGAACACTGACACGATAGACCATGGCGGAGATGATGACGTAGCGGGACCTTCTGTAACTGCCACAGCTGAAGTGTCACCATGAAGCCCGTGAATTGCTGTTATGAAAACATTTGCAGTAACTTGCATAATTAAATGAAACTGCCAGAAAAGCATTTCTAAAATGCAGAGAAGATGTACATAAATAAATACACTTCAAAGCCAATATTACATTTCAGAATCAGCATTGTGGTGAATTATGCAAAGTTATGTCACAAGCAAAGTACCATTTCATTTGTACTGAGTGTTAAATAATGACAAATGAATGACAGCATTGTTATTTAAATTGACTGCTCTCTTAGTCTCCTTTACATACACTCAATAAATGCAACTTGATGGTCATGATATCTAAAACCACAACCCCCCATTTCTAAGAGTTATCATGCCTAAATGAAGACCTTAATACCGATAAAACTGTAATATTGTATCTTCTAGCACACATCAGTATTGTAACACATTAACTGCTATATGAGTTGTATTTAACTCAAGCTAGTTTCGAGCCCGGGGCACTGTGAAGCATACAGAACTCACACGTCTCTTTACCTTGGGAGCCATGAGAACTATTTTTTAAATTGCATATAACTCACGCACAGAAAACAATAAAAAAAATTTTTTTATTCAATTAGAAAGGACTGTTTTGCTTTTGAAGTTTTAATTCTATTTTCATAATAAAATGCCATGGCCCCAAGGAAAAAATTTTTTTTCTAGTGTTGCAGTCAATGTGTTAAATGAAGATAAAATGTTCAACAACAGTAGAGTGGCAGATATTTGGCTTTACAGAAGCTTGTTTCTTTGTTTAGCTGAAGAATATTATACTGATTTAAAAGAAAAACTTTTAATAGTAGTGAGGACCACATCTATTACAATATGATTGTGTTTACAGAATGTTACATAAGGCAAGAGAAATAATGCTGAACACAACGGTAAAATGATTATCATCTTGCTTGTTAAAACTAACCTCAGAAGGTTTTTGAAACTTTCATTCTAATGGTGACAGTTTTCATGTAGAAAAGGAATCTAATTAAGGATTCCCACAGCAGTCAAGGAAATATAAAGATTATCAACTATATTAGCTGCACAGAAAAAGGATCAAAAAAGAAGAGTGTGTTTTACAAACATAGCATCAAAATGTCACTTTTCTCTTTGCAGTATATCTATAATGCCATCATACCTTGTAAGGGTAGCTACTTACATCAAACAACTTTTCTATATACATTTCCTCATTGACCTTTTCTCGAAGAATATCCTGGTTTTGCCGAACAAACATAATATAAGTGTCTGCCAGATCCATTCCTGGTTTCTGTTGAGGGAAAAGCAGGAGGAATAAAACAACATCAGGGCTCAGTTATGAAGTTCTTATTTATTCATACCCTGAAAATTAAGTTTATACCAGTAAAATATGCTCAAGACCAAATCAACAGTAAGCACTTTCAATACATTCGGTAATTAAAGTAAATAAAACAATTTATTACTGATATTCACAACTTGAGGTCATAGTTGTTCATCAGTTCAAAATAATTAAAAATACAGTGCTCTGGCCGGGCGTGGTGGCTCACACCTGTAATCCTAGCACTCTGGGAGGCCGAGGCAGGCGGATTGCTCGAGGTCAGGAGTTCGAAACCAGCTCGAGCAAGAGCGAGACCCCGTCTCTACTATAAATAGAAAAAGATTAATTGGCCAACTAATATATATAGAAAAAAATTAGTTGGGCATGGTGGCGCATGCCTGTAGTCCCAGCTACTCAGGAGGCTGAGGCAGCAGGATTGCTTGAGCCCAGGAGTTTGAGGTTGCTGTGAGCTAGGCTGATGCCATGGCACTCACTCTAGCCTGAGCAACAGAGCGAGACTCTGTCTCAAAAAAAAAAAAAAAATACAGTTTTTTTTTTTTTAAATGGCTATCTTGAAAGGTCAATATGTCAAGCAGTATAAGTAAATAAATTTTCCCAAAACTTTTCCACATGTAACTATAATTTCCTAATTGAAAATACAATTTACTTTTCACCTTTTCTGGCAGGTTTATCCACACCATTAAAAAATGTTAGCTTTCCTTGGGGTACTTCCTTTGACTATTATAGGTGTTCAATAAACTAAATCTTATTAAGCTGAGTAATATATTATTAGGAAGATATTGGGGGAAAATATTTAATACATTACAAAGTAAAACAAACTATTTTGTGGATTATCCATTGTTGCTGCTCAATAATTACCAATATTATCTCAATAATTTAATATAGAAATGCAATAGGAGTATCAATGAACTAGCTTCCTATATAGAGCCAAAGATGTGAATTAGATAACTTTCCAAAGCTATCTAACATGTGGTGTCTTCTAATGGTAGAGGAGCTAGAGTAGATAATATAACTTTTTCTTTGCTGTAGACTCTACAAAATCACTACTCAGGAGGGACAAAAACCTGAATGGCTGCTAAAGAGTTTTCATTCTTGATTTACGTTTTGTTCTTTCTTGAGTTTCATATAGCTGGACTAGTTAATGAAAATACTCATTTGTGTCATCCACAGCTGGGCTTGATTCAAAATCTGTACTTAGTTATTTGAGTTTGACAGTAAGAAGAAGAAAGTGGTAGAAACTGATGCCCAAATAAGCTAGTTGGCCTTGCATCATTTCATGTTCACAGAACGTACTTATAACCTTTGTCAACAGACTCATTTGCAAAAGTAAATACTGTAAGAAAATTAGGTGAAAGAGGATATGAATCATTTAACTATTACTACTGCTGGAAAAATAACTCAAGGTATGCATCTGAGTGATGCTAGGACCAGTGGTAGTACCTTCTCCTTAAATAAAAGACAGAAACTGGGTGTGGTGGCTCATGTGTATAATTCCAGCACTTTGGGAGGCTGAGGTGAGTGGATCGCTTGAGGCCAGGAGTTCGACACCGGCCTATGGGCAACATAGTGAGACCCTATCTCTAAAAAAAAATAAGTGAGAAAAATTAGCTGACTGCAGCAGTGTATGCCTGTAGTCCCACCTCCTTGGGAAGCTGAGGCAGGAGGACTTCTTGAGCCCAGGAGTCTGAGGGTGTAGTGAGATGCAACCATGCCACTGCACTCCAACCTGGGCAACAGAGAAAGACCCTGACACTAAAAGAGAGAAAAAAAGTTCTTGCTACTTTTTTGAGGGGTGATATATTTTACATATCACACTAAACTTGCCCATCTCTTAACTAATACATAATATAAGCAATGAGTGTATCTTACTTATTCCATTTGTAACATTTAATTTAATTTAATTTTTTTATGGTACAAAGCTATTTCTGTGCAATAAGAATCACCGCAATCTCTTACTGCTCTTATATTTAACCTAAAGGGAAATGCAGACCACATAAATTCAAGGATGTTTTCAACATAACTCTGATATAACAAAAGTAGTTATAATTTGAAATAACTATATAAATGTCTTCGCTGGTCTCCCCTTCTAGAGCATTCACACACAACATAAGTAATACATTCCAAACTCAACAGAGGTAACTTATTGACTTCATCCCTTCACTATTTTTCTGCATAATTCTCATAAGGAATGTATGAAAGTTTCAACAATTACAAGGAATAATCATCACAAACCTAGATTCCTTTCTTTTTGGGGGTGGAGGTTTTATACATTAGTTTTTCCAGTGAAGAGGCAGGATTCTTTGCACAGAGATTACTGCTATGAATACCTGAGAACAACTCACTCATAAGATATGTATTTTTCTCGTTGCCTCTCAAACTTTGTCAAAACACTGAAAACGAGAACATTCAGAAAACATACTGCCACAGAATGAAAATGACATGGGAACAGTTTTTTACACATAATAGCAAGTTAGCTCAGCAGCTGAGTTTCAGACAGGTGCCTAGAAACAGGATGCTGTACCATGCATAACACCAAGGCAGTTGGGAACAGCTCAGTTAAACTGGGAGTTGAAGAACAGACAAATGAGAGGCTTGCCTTCTCTACCATCTCTCCCCACCCCAATCCCATTTTTGTTTTCCCTTTTCAAAGAAAAACGATGCTTAGAAGTTTAATCCAGTCAATCATTAGACCCATCAGACTCAATGGAAAGTTAGTTATGGCCAGGAAGACCAGATAAAGACTTTAAACATTCACCATAGACACCAGGGTTATTTCTATTTCCTTGGTCATTTACCAGATAACATTAGCCATCATGAAACACTGTCTAGGAATAATTTATCTTTCACCATCTAACACTAACAAATACTTTACAGTTTAAGCCTAAAAGAAAACTAAATGCTGTTCCCTATTGGCAGATCCAAAGGATTTAGTGCTGAAATTTACCAGTTGAGATAGTTCCAAACTTTCTAAGGAAATAAGAATCTCTGGTGAAGTATGAGGTAAAGCTCATTTAAAAGTTTGTTTTAACAAATTGTTTCTTTCTTTTTCTTTTTGAAATAGCATTTTCTCCCCTTTGGCAAAGTAATATCCACTTTCCTGGAAAACAAACCTAGGATTCTTACCTTCCTCATTGGCATTATTTCTTCCTTTATCTTTGAGCTGTTTACCTATTCTTGAAAGTGTGACATATGGGAATTTCACACCTAGTGAATATATTTTCATGTAGCTTGTGGCATGAGACTATAATCATTAAAAGAATATACACAAGTAAGAGTAACTGCAACAGCTGGTGACATTTACCAATTAGAATTAGAGTTCTTTAAAACACTTTATCCTTCATTTGGTGTACGAAGCGTAATTATCTCTGATAAATTGCTGAAAAAGATGTAATTTTCCTTTTAAACAGTTTCTACATACAGTACAAACGCGTTTGGATAGAAGACATTATCGCTGGTTCAGTGTCCTTTGTGCTCAGACTCTTGTTTCATGGCAGCAAAATTTACATACTTTGAAAGTCATCACATTTAATTCCATTATTAAATGTTATCTTATTAGGAAATGAAGTTTAGTTAAAAAAAAACGAAGTATACTCTTAAATTTTTGTGGTTCTTCCGGCATGCAAAGGAAAAGATTTCCTGGAAGAGACAAACTACTGCTACAGATTCTGATACAAGTGGGTGTCTACCAACTTTCCCAAAGGAGTGGCCTGTTAAATTTCAACTGTAGATTTTCAGGATGAGTTTTTATGAAGAATATTGTATTTTAAAGAGCTATATTTAGAAATCTTTTCTAAATTAGTAATTACATCATAGTTTTCTAAAAATTAGTTTTTTTAAATGAAAAGAAAATGATAATTAAAAACCACATAGTGAGCAAACTATGTCTTAAATACCATTTAGAATAAGTGAAGGATTTTTTTCATACTCCCATTTAACCTCTGAGATTCTTAGTTCACTAATTTCCCCTTGTATTTTAAGGTAGCAATCTCTAAATGAAGTTCCTAAATTGCTTTTAATCTGATTCAGAAAATAACAGAATTTGGCTACCAAAGTTATAGTAAAGGCACAAAAAAATCTAAAAAATTCCCCTATCAGTATAAAGAAATCAATAATTACAGAAAGAAATGAAGTATTTTGAGGTGTGTTCCTCTTGTATTGGTTGTATAAGTAATTGAATACATCAGTGAGTGAATGAGTTTAAGAAAAGGATGCAGACTCCAGCAAATTTTTTTTCAAGCATTAATCACTAGTTAACCTAGCAAGATGAACATGCTGTTTAAAAAAAGAAGAAGAAAAAAAATCCTTGTTAATTATATGCTGCAAACGCTCTTACTTCCTGCTGCTATACCTAATCCCACAGGTGCAAGTCTTCTCTTTCCCTATTCATGGGTAGGTGGGTGCAACGCTGCAGTCATTTTTCACAGCAACAGATTTAGATACAGAAGAAGCCGCTTAACCTTCCACTGGAGGTTAACAATACACTACACAAACACTGTCATGGTGCCTATTTAACAAGGAGACAAATTTTTAAATATACTGTTCCAGTCTCAAAGATTAACTAGAAGCTACGGTGTAATTGACTTAATTTAAAAGTGCACGTCTCATAACCTAGAAAAGCTTGCCTTGAAGAAATAATCAAGAGTGGAACTGTGCTATCCTGATTTATGATAATCTGCATGCTTCATAAATGAAATACTTGTGTCTGGTCATTCATTACCAATGGGAAAAAAATGCATCTTTTAAGTATAAGATAATAGCATGTCTTCTAAATTTGAAATTGTAGTAGGAACAATTTATATCTCAACTCTGGCACTGAAGATTCAGTAACAGTTTATAACTGATCATAGAACATAGTTCTACAAACATATAATTTATTCCAGGTATTGTTAAACACAATGTTTTTCTTTTACTATTTAACATATCCTTTATTGCACTGGCATTTATACATCAAT